AAAGCTCTGCAAAATTTTTCACACATTTTTAGATGATTCTTGTCTATATTTCCTTCCCAAACATGCTTTTATTCAAAGTTAGTCTGGCTGATGATAACTTTGCAAAGAACTTCCTAAATGTTTTAAGGCAACCTAAAAAAATACAATGCAATCATAAAAAATTGCAGATTAAAGAAGAGACATAGTGCTGCTTCAAAGGTATTCTCTTCACAGGAAGAAAAAAGGATTGGGTTTGTTGTTTTTTTTTTTTTTTTTTTACTAACCTCTTTCCTATAAACTCATCCTAAGAAAATCTCATGATTTCTCAATTCTTTGTCATGAAAAATCACCAGCACTCAAAGGCACTGAAGGGAGACATAATTATACTTAGCCACTATGTTTAAATCACACACATGGCAATACACAGAAAGGTCTTGTCAACTGTGGTACGTGCAGAATGCAAAAAACTGGCCTTGTAATTAGCATTTGCATGAGAAGCATATCAGAAATTTGTCTTGTTATAGCACTGACAGATCAAATACAACTTTTGGCAATGTCTATAAATGAACAAAACCACCAACATACACTTAAACAAGGAAAAGAGAGTATAAACTGCTTCACTCAGTTAAAAAAAGGGGGGGAAAAAAACCCAAGCTGTGATGGAACATGAATGATATTAACTATGTACAAGAACTCAAAGCACCCTTTCCCCACCCACTACGTGGCATCCTCACAGTACAGCTTTAATAGCAAACCTCTTCCCTGAAAGGCTTGACTTTATTAACAGGTCCATCACTGTACAAGTGAGTTCATGTCCTTCCCTGAGTGCACTGATAACCAATGTCTTTAAACTCACTGAGTTTGAATATACAATTAAACATAGCACAACTGTTGATCTAAAAGAAGTTGATAAGAAAGAAATCAAATAACAATTAACCAGGGGAATTTGGGACTCAGGGTGTCAGGTATCTGCATTTTATCTATATTTTTTTCTGTAGGCAAGTTTGAATCAGACATCCAACTCCGTGACCATTCATGGACACAAACCAGGAGCTTCTCTTTTGTCACAGGACAAAAGGCCCATGTTGTCAAAAGCTTTTTGACATGCACTGATGAAAGATGCCAGAGAAGTACTATTATTGTACATTATGTCATTTTTATTTTTCCGTCTAGAAATCACCTGTTGTGCTATTGCAATCTTGGCAATGACAAGTAAGTCTGTCTGAAAAAATGGTATTTCCATCTTCTTGTCTTTAACAAATCCTATGACCTTGATTGTTCTGCAGAAGTTTTGTAATTTCTTACAGTTAAGACCAAAAGGCTAAGCAGCTGCCCCAGGATATAGTGCATCCTCAGTCCTTTTAACACCAGATTAACTTCCACAGGATGTTTTTGAAGTGTATTAGTCAAGCCATACAGGGAAAGCAAGGCATACCGCAGATCATAGTTCTCTGTACTTTTGTGAAAGACACTCAGCTCAGACTGAAGAAAAAACTCAGGTCAGAGAAAAAGCACATCAAGGAAACTACCAAAAAATATTAAAAGCTCTGACCTACCTCCTAGGCAGAGGTGAGCACTGCCGTTGGAACAAAACAAAAGAATCCCATGCCAAAATGCCAGCCGGCTGAGAGTGCATGGACACTCTGAGACCATTCGTGCCCAGCTGGACTTTGGACAGATGCTCCTTTTTGGAGCTGTCTGTGCTGGTGGAAGCGGTTTCTGCTCTCAGCTTATCCTACACTATCCATCACTGCCTCTTTACTTCCACCAGCACTAGTCATGCAAGTAACTTCCTCTAACCCAACTGAGTCAAATTGAGCCAGATTAGCTTAAACGTTATCAACAGAATAGGTTTTTGCTAATACAGATTGTTTTGGCTGAAAAGGACCAGGAAGATTTTGTTTGCTGCACAGCTGGCAGATCAAGGGGTCACAAGTATTTGGGATAGATTAATACAATAACATCTTCCATGAGCACAGACAATTGTAGAACACTCACCTGCCAAAACTCCTCAGACTCCAGGAGATACTCAATATGCCAAAGAGAAGAGCTAAATATGAACCTTGTGTTTGGGGCGTCTCACCTTTCCTAATTTGTGTAGATATATTCAATGTCTCACAGCATTCTTTTTTTCCTGTAGCACTGATAAGACTGTCTTGTGTATTAGTCATATATATACTCCTTCTTCCTTCATCAAACATAGGTCCCTGCTGCCATCCATCACAGAATCAAAAGCCCTAAATTAATCACTATCAACCAACATGTTTCTCAATAATGACCTTCAGTTTGAAGACACATCAGTACCATACCTTACTAATCCTAGGAGTCTAAGCAAGCAAGACAGCAACCAAGAACATCACACAGAACAAAGATCAGAGCTAAAATGATAGGCTCCTGCAGCTGAAAATTGATTTCAATCCAGTGCACCATACTTAAGCATCATATTGTCCTCCTCAATGTCAAATTGCATTAAGAAAAAATATCCCAAAATACTATACACTACTCTTTGTGACACTTGTCACTTTTCTCTCCCTTAGCTTCCCTCAAATTGTATCAAAAACTTCCCATGCGGTACTCACTAAGTACTCTTCATATCCCACATCTCTGATTTTTGCCATCAACTCCCAAAGCTACTCCCTTTGCTGAGCTACTGCCCACTTCCCTTCCCTCTTCCCCTCAGAAGGCAGGCTCCCAGCCACACAACTAGACATACATACACATTTCTATCCTTATCTGTGTCCAGATTAAGATTTTGGAGGTGTGTTCCCCGAAATGGTTAGCGAACATGTCTAAGTGTCTACTATGGATAGTGTTAAGTATGTTTTAATGCATTTTGGCTAGCAAGTTGACACTCTGGAAAGAGCCCTTTCTTAAATTTCGCCCAATAAACACAAGGATTCTGCCAGAATTACAGAATAACCTATCTACAGATTAGGCTGTAAGAAGACTTTCTCTCCAGTACCCAATCCACATCACCACATCCTGTTAGCCACAGGATGGGTGACATACAGCAAAGAGACGCATTACACTCAGCATTCCTAGAAGTTGCTGCCATCTTCTCTCCCCCAAAAAGGAGGGCATAGCTCTGTGCAACACTCTCTCCTCCCAAGCATTGCAACAGGTTGTTTCATAACAGCTGCTGCAATACCACAGCATCAAAGGAATGGCACTCACACACGTACATAATCCCATTTTACTGTGAAGCACACAGTTTTGTTCATAAGGCACAAAGTAAAAAATATATCACAAAAAAATGTTGATGGAAGCTAAACAGCTGTGACATTCCCACAGAACAAAATGATTAATAGTATCAACTGTGAGATGGAAACAACATTTCTTGAATGTGTGATCATTATGAAACTCACTCTTGTGATATCAATAATGTACAATGGAGAAAAAAAAAAAAAAGCAAAATGCTTTCCCCTTCATTTTTAATATGAGGCATTCACATAGTAACAATGCAAACTAGGTTTTAGGCAACAGGAGAAAATGAAATAAAATTCTTACTTTAGAGGCTCAGGAGGGAGTTTAGTTCCCGAAAGATTAATCTGCATCAAAGCAAGTGAGCTGCTGAAAAATTGTTTGAAGGAGGGAGGGACTTCTTTTCCTTTTCTGTAAGTAAACAAATTCATTAAGGAGTAGCATCTAGACAGTCCTCATTCCAATAAATAGTGAATACAAGCTGTCAGAATTGTAATGATTTTTTACATGTTTAATTTGCTCTGCCTTCAACAGCTCTGTAATCAGTGGCTTTCAATTAGCTTAGAAATATAATGTCATCAAAATGTTGATTCAACAAACAATCCTCAGCATTGCACTGCTGCACAGAAGACATTACTATTTAGCTTCTGTTTGGTGAACTACAAAGAATGATCACTTAGGTCTGGTTAACAGTGAACATACTCATATCTTATGAGCAGAAGATCAAACAGGGCATTACAAAAACCCTGAAATTGCCTTTTCATCGCTAGAAATAATTACTCAATGCTGGAGTAGATCACCCCCAATTACGTATCATCTCTGATATGGATTCAGAACACTAATTTGAAGAAAATGGAAGCTAATGTTAATATTTCCTACAATGCAAATACTCTACAAAGCCAATGTTCAGTCTCAAAGACTTTCAAAGGGACTTCCTCCCAGAAAAGGGCAAAAAAGGAAAAAATGCATTTGTAACCATCATCAAATCATGAAAAATACAAACTTTAAAAACCAAATTTAAAGAGGAGTCAAGTCAGCCAGACTTCAAAGCCTGATGTTATGCCTCTTAGAGACAAAAGATACAGAGAGACTTTCTGCTGCTTCAGTATCACAAAAAAACGTATTAGACAAGGTAGCTTATTTTACAGCCATCTAGTAAAGAGTGGACAGGGAAAGAAAATATTTTTCTTGGAATAAATTATATCTATTTCATAGAGCACTAAGACTTCCAAGACTTTTTATAAAGTCTTAAATTTCTTCTTAAAAAGAAAGTTGCAACATGATAGCAACAAAATATTAAACAAAATATTGCAGGAGTTGAGAGCAATGACATTTAAACTGTACCTGTGAGAAAAAAGAGTCCTAGAGAGGCTAAGAACAGCTAGATGCTGAAGACATCCACGAAGGAGAGCTCCACACACCTGGTTTAAAACAAAGAAGATTGATTTTACTTAATACTAACCTAGAAAAATACCTAGAGACAGTAGGTGGGAAATGTTTCCTTGGTATTTGAATCTCCACAAAAAAACATCTTTACCATATCTAGTGCACACTCCGTGTTGGATAAATCCAAATGAACAAGAGCATTTGGCTGGGCCAAAAAATTGTACAGGCTCTATAATTAATGGAGAGAAAAAAAAGAGAGAATTATCCATGTTACTTTTGATATTATGACACCAATTACTGGATCACTACTTCTCATTACATTTTAGGCTTTCGTTATATAATTGCACTCAAGAGTTGTGCCTGAAGCTTCTTTTCACCTTATCAATACAACCTGTTTTACATTGAAGGTTATCATTTTTTAAAATAACAGAGGAAAAATGGTGCTCAGACTACACTTACCAAACATTACTCCTAATGGACAAGTCTTGAGTTACCTTGCAATTCACTTTCACAACAAATGGCAATTAATTTAGTTAGAAATACCTTGGAATGTCACTCAGATTGCTGTTACGTTTCAGAAAGGCGAATTGGTTTGCAAGTTTAAGCCAGCCCCTTTAAGCATGAGGGAAACAACTAACTTGCATCTGGAGCCCATGGTTATTTCTTAGTATCAGCAGTGCATTAAAGGTTTAAGGGAAAATACAGAACAGGTAACAAGACTTTAATATTGATAGTTCAGTACTGCATAGGACATGTCATGTCAATGTTAGCATATGTAAAACTTCTTACTATACACTGTTTTATTCTGGGCTTTTTATAGCCTCAGAGAACACCACAAAGATAAAAGTATGACCTAATTCACAGAAACACGGAACGCTCAACTCCAGCCAAAGACAGTATGTTCAACATTTCTAAAATAGATCCATCTTTCTAAAAATTAGGTCATTTAGCCCCTATACCTACAGTGCAAGAAAGGTCCCTGCTTTAAAAATCCCTGTGCTTTGCTAGGGTTTATTTTAATTGCTAAATAACAGGATTTCCTTACTCCTGTTGGAAAACTGTTCCACAGATTAAGAGATCTCAGTATTAATAATCTTTTTCTTTGAACCATCTCCCTCTCTCTCTGACAGGTTAAGAAAAGGCACAATTTTTGTATTTATATCCCTTAAAATACTGTAGGTAGACAACAGATTTCTTTAAGCATTGCCTATTAAAGTTGTACATTTTATTTTACTTTTTCGTTTTTATATTATTTGCTATGTTATTGTCTCTTAAAGAGTAATCCACTGTGTCTTTATTTATATTTAACTATCTGTTTGCTACCTTTTAAATCCCCTTGACCCACTGAAACTTTCACCTCTTATGTCTGAAAAGACTAGTTCTTTGAATGTGCTGATAAATCTGAAACTAGTAAGCTTTGTGAGAAAGTCAGTCTCATGTCTGACTGCATTTTAAATTGTACAATTGGCTGAATCTAGTGTTGCATATTTTAGATGCTCAGTACTTAAAGAATTCAAAACCTGACGCTTACATGCACACAGCTTTTGATGCAAGAGAGAAATACAGATGTAACAGTCAAAAAGTGAGTATGTACAAATTGAGAACTAAGTGGATTTTGTTACCGAAGAAATAGAGTTGCACCTCTATGGCAATTGATAAACTGAACAAAGGAATTTAAAAAATAATTACATTCTTGAAAGAATCATGAGCTTCAACAGCATGTGTCAAGGAGGTGCACAGGTTTATTTACACAAACAGAAATATTGGAAACAGAAATCAAGTCTTTCCAAGTCAAAATAAATCCTTTGTTTCCAACCTTCCAGTGAAAAATTTGTAACACACTAATCACTAAAAAGAAGATGAGGGGTTTTTTAATTGTGTTTTGGTCACTTTCAAACAGAACTCAGGGAGCATGGTAAGTTCACTGAAACAAGTGGCACACTTGCATTTTTCTAATTTATCAGTAGAAGCCAAGGACTAAAAGCATGAATTAAAAATTATGTGGATTTGTTTAGTCATGTGGGGCAATTTAATTCTCTGACTATATACTAAAGAGTAGAGATCAAAATGTTATTTTCTATCCCTACTAGAACTGTACTGAAATAGAGGCAAAAAAGGATCTAAACAAAATGGTTTTGCCTTATTCTTAACAGTAATTAAAACATCTATTCCTTAACTCCCAAATGAGAAGAAAGTGCTTACTGAGAGATCATCACCACGGAGCGCGTTCCCTGAGAGGTCAAGATAGACAAGTGTGTTTGCGATCAGCGAGTTGGCACTCAGTGACTGGGAAAGGCTATTCACCCCTGCAAAAAAAAAAAAAAAAGTAAAGTCAGTACTCAACTCAGTCAACTCCAGACAAAACTGGCCCGGACCTTGCAAATGCACAATTTCAGTGAACATGGACATACACAAACGTTTAATGACCTCCTGTCACCATCACTGCACCGCAGCAGAGGAATACAGAACACGAGGCGGACACGAGACCCTTCCCTGCCACAGCATGCCTGGTTTTGCCTGGACCAGGCTCCCCTAGCTGCCCTGATGGAGCCACAGTGTGTTACAGGTCCTAGGTCCAGGGAAAAAGTCCCTTTGCCAAGCCCACGGTGGCTTGAACAGTGCAATCCCATTTTGAAACAGATTTATAAAAAAGAGTTTACTCCATAATGGTAAGGCAGTGCCTTCCTGCAAACAATAATACTTAAAAGTATCTGTGGAAGATCAAGTACATTAACAATTATAATTGCCAGAACTTCAAAAGCGCCTGATGAGACCTAGAAATTAAAAATATTTCAATTAACTTATTTGCCTGTAATTTCAGAAAAATAATTAATTAAAATATCAAGAGATGCATACAGACTCTCTGTTCCTGATCAGAACAAATATCTATTTTTCACATTAAAATTAAAAAGCTCACATTGGAACAAAACCAGTCAGAGCTTTCTTCCTCTGAAGTTCTTCAGCTTTTCCAAACACAAATCAGGACATAGGACGTGGCTACTTCCAACTCCTTCAAATCTGACTTTCATCTGAGGGCTCTGTAGCCCATCACCAAGTTCTTAATTTATTGCAGATGGCTATTGCTGCCTTTCAAGCACTACATGCGTGTGTTTCTTAGATACATAAGCATCACTGTGTCCTTTAGTAGATGCAGTAGTTTTTTTCTAAGCATCCAGCCAAAGCTACAAAGCAGGCAAGTGTTTTGATCTATGACACAGTATTAGGCAATGTCTCAAAGCTACTTGGTCAGTGGAAATAGACTGGCATTCAATGGATGGAACACTTCTGTTCTTCACTTAAAAACTATTACGAAATGCATTTACCAGTGAGGATGTGGAGGAAGCAGCTAGCAAGCCACTGGAGACCAAAATACCCCACATCAGCGCTTTAGTTTTCCAAGCTTCCAAATATTAAGAAAGTCTCCCATGTTAGTAGTATGGCTCTTGGTTTCAAGTGGCTTTTGATACTGAAAAGAATTGAAGTGCAGTGACATTTTTGCCAAGTCTCAGAACTTTTCTGTTTGGTGCAATTTTTCTTTTATCTTAACGTTGCATTGTTGAATCCACACCCTATCTATAAAGGTAAACTGCAAACAAATACTTTTTGAAACTTTGAAAGATCTAAAAGCTCTATTTAACTACTAGGGCTTATAGCTCTGGATTCACTTTTGAGAGCCTTCTCAACAGCATTTATAAGAAACAACAAGAAGTAGAAATGAATGCAATGTACTGTCAACAATTCAGCATACACTATCAAGAACCAATTTTGGGAACTTAGGAGCAGTGTCTGAGTCTGGGGGAGAAGAAGAGCTAACAAACAATCCATAATGTTGCTGCTTGTTTCAAGGGCTAACTGCTCAAAATCAGCCACATCACTGAAGGCAAACAATGTGAATGAGGGATTTTTTTAATTAGCCTTTGGCTTGGGAACAGAAAAGCAAGTCCTATCTTTGAATGAGTATACTAGAATTTTCCATTTAGCTAGAATCTTCAAATCAATATATTTCTGTTTGAACTTCACCTACCTCATGCTATACTCTAACAGTAATCTCACTTTCATTTGCAGACAATCTTTTATGCTCTTTTACGACTCTCAGGAGGCTCAGAGTGTTAATAACTCTCAGGAACTTTGAGATACAATATTTGAAGAAAGATCAACTGGGAAGCTACCACCTGAACTTCACTTCTCAATCTTAGAAACCTAACTTGAGTAGAAAGTGCTTTTTAAATAAGATCAAAACCAGTTGAGGGACTGTACAGAATTTCTGAAACTGAAAAGTCAAAATAAAAAAAGAAAAAGAAAGGCTGGGGAAAAAAAATCCAAGCACCTTAGAGTGTACTGAATCCAAGATCCAAGGTCTCCTATAGACCTTCTCCAGAGAAAATATTTTGAACTTTACAAGTTCAAAAATAGCCTCCCAAGTTAAAACCAATTTAGTATTGTCTTCTTAAATTAAAGGAAAACTGGCTATGACAGACAGCTTTGCAGACAACTGAAGAGGTGAAGCTGAGTTTCTTCAGGTCCAGAGGGTTATAAGAATTCCAATTTTAAGACATCGCATATACGTTTTTAAGGAATACTGAGGACCTGCCATGGGACAATATTCATGATGACGTGTTACGCTCTGGACAATAGATAGTTACTGCAAAGCAGCCTGGACTAGGATTCACATGAGGTCAGTATTAGACATACTGGAAAATATTTTCAGCTTTGATTAAAGATTGTCTTTAAAAAGTGTGCTAAAAACCTTCCACATTCTTTTCATAACCTCAGAATTCATTTTTACTGACAACAGTTTTGTGGATGAACTTCACCAAGCTGATGTCTACTCTTTACAAAGATGGAACCATAGCTAGAGTGTTCTCTTGACTTGAAGGTCACAAGCACTTGCTGAAATCATTCAGATCACATGAAGAAAAGGACAGGATGAATGAACATACCAGAACTGCATGAATTTCTGTCAAATTCATGAACATCTAATTTCAAGAGTACACATAAGGTTAGTCAAGATTCTTAACCAATTGCTTGTCACCAAAAATGGAGTTAGCAGTGGAAGAAAAACAATCCCAGAGTTTAATAAAGTCTTTTTAATGAAAATCATGATTGAATAAATTCAGTTTAGGGTTTACTATTTACTTAAGCATAACAAGAGTTACAGACACTCATAAAAAAACAATAAAAATCCCTTCTCCCCACCCATACTCTCCCAGGTCAACTCTTAAAACATAGGAGAACACAAAATCTGCACTTCACAGAGCAATAATTAAATGGATAAAAGAGCATGGCTCCTAGCTGTTATCAACTAACGTTCTTCATAGACCATAACTAACTCATCTTTTCCAGGTCATCAACATCTGTGAAACAGCTGCAATAATGTCAGTGCATTTTTTTCTATTTTTAACACTCATGTTCTCTACAGGAGACCCTGGGTTTGTACAGTCTGTTTACGAGGTCACTGCATCTATCATTAGTGAAACAGCAATGCAAAAAATCCTGAGAGCTTCTGACTTGTGTTTCAGTACTGTCATTGCTTTTAAAATATACATACATTTCAATTATGATATCAAATCAGAAATTTGTAAATTATAAAACAAAGAAGTCTTTACTCAGAGCAAACCACTTAACAGCCACTGTCACAACACTTGGTTTCATAAAATAATTGCACACAAAACATTTGGAAAATTCCCAAAACATTTTTGCTTCAGACATCTTTTTGAAGCATATATGAAACACATAATTTATTCAATCTTTCTTTACAATACAGGTTCAAGCCCAAAGCTTACAGAAGGTGGTAAGAATTTTTTAAAGTGCTGAAGGGGACACAGAACCCAGGACGGAAAAAAATAGCTGCGCTGCTGAGAATACACATGTAAATCATTTACAGAATTAATTTATAATCTGGTAACACATGGTATTATTAGGATGGAAACCAGAGACTTTTAGAACAGAAAATGGGGCATACTTATAAAACATACCTTTAGGTGACAAGGAAGTTTTAGATAAATTTAAATGTTTCAGTCCCTTTGGAAGTTTGGCAAACTGGATGCTCAAAGATGACACACCTGTTGGGGGAGCAAAGAGAAAAAGGGACATTTTCAGGTTAACTGTGTGATCTCAGGTTTTCCAGCAATTACGCCGGGGGAAAACTGCACTGGTGGAGCTAGAGAAGAAACTGCACTCACTGTGGGGGTGGCCTCAAAATGACCCTGTCTTTTTATGACCATAAATCTTTGAAGTGACTGATGCAGTCAAGATCCCTTCTTTGCTAGTCACTGAACAGATAGGGAATTTTGCTGTTAATCATCAGTGAATCACCTGAATTAGTTTAAGAACTACATAATACACACCTACTTTTGAGGAGTCAAAGGGAAGATAGTACACATGTCAAACAGTCAGCACTTGAGAAATCTGGAAGCTTTATGGTTCAGCAAAAAACCACAAACCCAAAACATAAACAACCACAAAATAAAACCCAACAATGGTAATTCATGTGAAATTTCAAACTATTTTTACTTCCTTTTAAAGGAAGGGCTGTCAAGGCAAGAGAGACACCCATCTTAGCTAACTCTGCCCTCTTTTTCTGAGGAAAACCCTAAGAGCCTGAAACCTCCACCGAGTTGTAATGGCCACTTAATTCTCTTACAGTAGCCTGCAGGTTACCAGCCAGGACACAGGCTTGGGAATGCCACAAACGCTTGCAGTCCGAAACAGTAAAAGCCTATTAAGATGCTGACAGAGACTGGACTACCTCAGCACAAATCCGACAAAAGGAAAAAAAAAAAGTGTGTGTGTGTGGGGAAGCACTTTTCATTAAAGCTCTTTCTCAGAGTATCTAAGTTCCACACTCCATAAATTTAATCCCCACATTTAAGCAAAAGATTGAAATTTGATTAAGAGGACACATCTTAAATAACAATGGAACCTATCCATGAAATATTTATTAGAGGAATAAATCAACACAGAAACTCCAGGCTTAACCTGAGGTGTGAAATATAGTTCTGTACAGCAACTCACTCAGAGAGAAAAGGGCAAAGAGAAAGGACGTAAAGCCTTTTACTTGATTCAAAACACAGTAAATGAAAAAGCCGATACCCTTCTCTACATATGCAGACATGAAACAGTCTGCTAGTATGTCACATACATATGTTTACTCTGCTTTTATCATGTTTTACCCATCACTGATAATGAAAGAGCAGCTACCTTGCAGATATTGTTGTAGAGTTTTTTGTTAATGCTCTCTGTAAAAGCAAGTTGTGTATGCTAGTGATTGGTGCAATGTCCACGCAGCTCAAAACAACATACTGTATTTTATTTTTACTGCCAAAACATTAGACCCATGATGCCTTGGCATTGTTTATCGTAAAGCACGATGGTAACTGGATGTCTTCACCAACTTTCATCAGAAATGAATCAAGTCATATTAATAGGATTATCTTTCATAGCTCTTCTATTTAAAAAAAAAAAAAAAAATCTTTTTAGCTCCTCTGAAGTAGGAGGCTCAATCTGTGTTAAACTGGCCTCAGAATGTATATTCTGTAGCTAACTGTTCACATTTGTTAAGGTGGTTTAGTCACAATATATACTTTCAAAATCAAGGTAGAGTTATGCTAGCAAAAGAGGAGAAAAAGGAGTAGAATTAGAATCATTAAGGATATCGCAAATGTAATTTTTGTTGTGAAGCATTTTGAGTAAAACATGCAGCAAATAATTCTATCTTTCCATCTTTGTATTTAGCTAACAATCTGCAGACCACTTATCACTTTAGCCAAGCTGAATACTTTTAACATCTTACCCGCACTGGGGGTTAAGGATCCACCCAGTTATAAGACATAGGAACCAGGTGCGGAAAAGAAAAAGTGCTTCTGGACACTCAGGCCCTTGAATGCTCTTTAAGCCACCCATTTTTGCAAACTTCGTAACAGAGATGAGAGCTCTAATGGCAGAAGTAGATTTAATTGCATCTAGGCACACAGTTCTGAATCTGAGTATTTCTAGGCTTCAGTATGTTTGTTTTGCATTATTTTTAACAAAATATGAGATTAAAGTCTAATCCTAGTAGGGCCAAAAACAAAACTCCCATCGCTTTAGCATGGCTAGATTTTAAAGCCAAGATTGATAATAAACTTTGCGTATGTTAATCTCACAAATATTGACAGTACCATAAAGAGAAGCTGATCACAAATTAAGAGACTAGTCTCAGTGTAAACCACTCCATATTAACACTGCTTTGTAGTTGAACTAAAGCCAGGTCCTACTAAACTTAAACTAATCACACCTCCCATGTTATTGGAATACAGACAATTGAATTAATGTAGTAATATAATGTCTTTACTTATTGGTACTCAATAATATACAATCACTTCAGATTTTTTTTGTTCAAACAAGGCACAACGATATGTTCTTCCCCATAATTCATACAACTCTGTGTTATTTCCCTTATAATTGCAAAATAATCTGGTTGAACTTCCAGTTCCTGCAGGTGCTTTTTCAAGAGATATTTTCCAAAATTTATCTGTTTACATGAATCTCCATTATGCTAGCTTTTACTAGTGAAATGCTTGCTGCCCCTTCTGTTTAATAAAGTCAAATCTACCTTGCACTCAGTGAATATCAGATCACAGGACACATAAATCTTTCTTAAACTGAAAAGCTGCAATATTTACACACTGCAATTATAGTTAATTTCTCTTTAAGTACTCATATAACTTACCTAATTCCCTAATGAAAAGGTCAAATCTTAATTGCATATGTGATAGGAGAGACTGAGATAATGAAAAAAACCTACTAATTTTTCCAAGTTGTAGTTTCTGCATTTCATTTGTATCTTGTATGTGGATACTGCAAAATGGTTTGAATCTATAGGTTTGTTGCAAAGAAAGTACCCACACTGATATGTTTTTCAAAAATAAAAACTCCCCTGCACTGTAAAATATCTACCAAATATTTGGTCATTCGCTTTCAAGATAAAATGAGGTTTTTTTAAAAAAAACCCTTTCATATAATACAATCTAAAAACACTTCTTCAAAAGCAGAATCACCAATGCAACAGCCTTTTTTCCAGCTTACAACAGAAATTTTTGTACAATGCAGTTAGGCCTAGGCACATTGTGATAATAACGTTCTTCAGCAAAACACTGGCTTTCACGTGATATGGATTCTTAAGGATGGCAAGCGGTAATCAGAAGAGTTAAAGCAATTCATGCAAACAATTGTAAATAAACTACTCCAAATAGGTTAAAAACAAAAATATTTTCAGACTTGTTTCTAGTCGAAAGGAAAAGAGATACAAGAGAAGAAAGGAAAAAACACTTTCCCATCTTTTTTTTCCTCACTGAGCCAGCAAGAAAGGAGAGACACCTACAAAACTCTGTGTTAATAACATAATGAGTTAGTCAGGTTGCAATCAAAATGAACCATTTTTCTATTTTGAATCATGACAGTAAAGAAACTGGAAAATTTCCCCAAAACAAACCAAAGAAAACAAGAAAAGGTTTACTGTATAAAATTCTTATTTTTCTCCTGGCCCAACAGAAGCAGAAGATAGTCTGATCCCAGAACACTGTGTGCCTGGAATGCATTAAGCAAAGCAAAAGGAAATCTCACGTGGGCAGTGCTGAAGGGTCAACTCCAGACTGAAAGAATGTAACCTTATTTTAAAAATAAATGCCTCTTGGGTGAAAAGAGACTAGACAAGGGAGGGGAATGACTTGACTTGATATGTACTGAAATCATGCCTAGCAGTGCTTAGTCTGAGAAAAGCTGAGCTGTTCAGCTTGATTTTCCATCTTGTGGAGTCAACAGCACTTTGCTCCATAAGGATGCCAGCTATGCCAGTATTACTCAACATTGCCAAGTACTGGCAACACTGTGGACTAGCACAAAGTCGGAAAAAAAGGAATGGTTTCAATACTAAAACAAGTACAGAATTATGGTTGAAATAAAACCACAAAACTATCACGAAAATATAATCCAAGCAACAAAGTTGCCTCATGCTTCATCTTTCAACTGATGTCATTGCCTTTAAAAATGCACACCACTTTATTTACTCTCTAGTCCTAAACAATCACTGTGTTCTATCTTCCTTTAAAAGAAATCTCTATGAAAACATAATGAAATCTAATAAAATCCATGGTCGGTTTAAGACATTGAAATATTTCTCAACGAGCTAACGGGTACGTATAAATCAAAAAAGAATAGCAATTCTCAGTCATTTGTGAACAACAGATATTTATAATAGCATTACACACAGAACAATAATCTATTCTTCAGGCAAAGCTAAAGGGAGCAGCAGTAATCCTCCTATTACATTTGTAGAAAGAGAAAAATATAAATGCTACAGTACCTCTATCTTCAAGTGGATTGCTAGCAAGGTTGATTGTATGTAGTCCTGAGTTGGGATTATGGGCTAGGGCACTGGCTAGTTTCTGTGCAAAATCTCTGCAAAAAAAGAAGAGAGAGAAAGAGAGACTCCTGTTACCTCCTGTATCAACAGCACACTCAGAGGCTTAAAAATGTCGAGGGATTACTAGACAGAAATGGCCTATCCTGCTGCAGAGCAGTAACTGATTCTTCACAGTTTTAAACAATGCTTATCTGACTAATTTGCTACCTTTCAAAGTGGGTTATTATTTATTTATTTTGTGGCCTAAGAGACTGAAGAAAAGTCAAAGCTCAAACTGCTTTTGATAAAGATCTGAAGATATAAAATAGGAGTTACAGAGGATAACTTAAAACGTGAGCACGTTTTCCATCTCCTCCATGCCACGCATGGGTGTGATATATACATCTACTTGCAACCTCCTTCACTCACAAGCCAAACCCGTGACTTGCAGCAGCTCTTTACCAACAGTCACTCAAACAGGTGGGCTTTGCAGCATATCCAGAAGGTCAACAAACCAAGAGCATTTCTGGCCTTGTAAAACAGCACAAATAACGCTCTCAAAGAACAGCAGCACACTGATAAACTGGTCTTTGCTTGCTTGTTTTTACAGTGAGAAGCACTGAAGTATATAATTGGCTGACTACAGTCCTAGCAACGTGTCCCATGTGAGAGGGTGGTATATCAGTTTTATAATGCCCACATCAGCCAGGCCAGGTAGCAGAGATAACTCTGAACTAACTTTAACCAACTATGGTAGGTAGCTGTAGTAGTATGACCTACCTCTGTTTCAAATCCACTTGAGAGGCCAGGGAATGCTGCCCCATCTCAGAGCGTTTTGCTGCAGCTGGACTACCACCACTCACAGCACTAAATTC